CCTCAATAAAATCCTCCAGTGAAATAGGATGGAACTTTCTAGAGGTTCTGAGAGTTAGACTATAAGTACCTGTGGAATTAAACAGCATTCTCCTGTTTATGTTTTATGAAATATAAGCCTAGGAATGTATGCTGAAAAACGATAACAGCAGTCTGCAACGGTGATAAAAAGCAAGGGGGAAGGGCTTATCTGTAACCATGTGTGTTTGAGACATGCTAGGTAACTACCCGCATCATAGGTGATACACTTTCTAATTTGCTTTCAATTGCTGTGAAAAAATGACCATAACCAGTACCAACTTGGAGAGGAAAGGGTTTATTTAGTTTACACCTCCCAGGTCATAGTTCATCACGGAGGGAGCCGAAGGTAGGAACTCAGGGTAGGAACCATGGAACACAGGCCATGGAGGAGCACTGCTTACTGGCTTGCGCGCCTTGCCCCTATTCAACCTGCTTTCTTATACAATACAGAACAACCTGCACAGAGGTGGCACTTCCCACAGTGGGCTGGGCCCTCCCACATCACTCAAAAATCAAGAAAATACCCCACAGATGTGGCCACAGGCCAGTCCATTGGAGGTAATTTCCCAATTGAGGCTCCCTCTACCCAGGTGTGTCAAGTTGACACTAAAGCTAACCAGAACAATTGACCCCTTGTTAACTTGACACATAAATACATCACTATTAAACCACAACCTTTTCATTTATGGTCCCAAGATATGAGGTTAACATTAATATCACAACATAAGACAATACAACCTTAAAAAGTCCACAGTTCTTAAAAAAAAAACAACCAAACACTTGAAAGTCCACAGTCTCTTTTAAAAGTCCCTTAACTGTGGGCTCTTGTAGAATCCAAAACAAGTACTGTCTTATTTCAAAAGGAAGAATCAGGCACATCTAAGCAAAATCTAAGTCCAGCAAAGTAGCTCAAGGCTGGACATCTGAAATTCACTCACAATGTTCATCTTCTGGGCTCCAAAGGGTTTCGGCAACTGAACTTCTCTAACTCTGCCGTCCACAGCACACAGCCTGCCTTGCAGATCCAGGCTGGCTCCATTCCACACCTGCTGCTGCCCTTGGTGGTCAGCCCACGGTCCTGGCATCTCCGAAAAGCTGGGGTCTCTGCTGAAACTGAGGCTGCACCTTCACCAATGGCCTTTTCCGGCCTCTCAGGGTGCAAAAGGCTCAGATTCCCTCCTTGACCCCTTCAATCCTCCACTGCAACTGAAGCTGCACTTTCACTGATGGCCTTTCCTGGCCTCTCAGGGTGTCACACCTCAGCTGCTCTCTGTGACCCCTTCACGCTTTCAACACCAGAACCATGCAGGAGATTCTTACATATTACCAAGTCCTGCTTGCAGCCTAAGATGGAGGCTTGAGCCCCCTGTGAACCATAGCTTCTGTGTGCTGACCCTGAGGAAACACTTCCCAAAAGATTTCACCACAGTGGTGCTGATCTCCTGTTACAGCTGAGTTTTCAGCCCCAGCTAACCAGCATCAATTGTTCCAGTAAAGCAAAGGTTTCACTGCAGTGGTTCTGGCCTCTTCTTAATCACAGCAGATTCTTCAGCCTTAGCCGACCAGAACCCACAGATTCTCAATTCAAGATATCACACAAACAGCCCTGATAGTCACAAGTCAGGCTTCCACTGTCCACAGCTCTTTCAGCATAACTGTTCCAAAGCTCCACATCAACAAACTAAACACTCAATGGCTTTTCCAGCCCAAAGTTCCAAACAGTTCCAAACACTTTCACAATCTTCCTCCCAAACACCAAGGTCAGGTCTCTCATAGCAATACCTCTGTTCTAGCTTGTTTCTCTATTGCTGTGACAAAACACTCTGACCACTACCAACTTGGGGAGGAAAGGGTTTATTTGTCTTACATCTCCCAGGTCACGGTCCATCAGGGAGCCCAAGGTAGGAAGTCAGGGCAAGAATGGAGGATTGCTCCTTATTGGCTTGCTCTCCTAGCCCCTCCGAGTCAGCCTGCTTTCTTATGCAACACAGGCCCAGTTGCCCAGAGGTGGCACCACCCACAGTGGACTAGGTCCTCCCACATTACTCAACAGTCAAGAAGATGCCCCACAGACATGGCCACAGGCTAGTCCTATGGAGACAATTCCCCAATTGAGGCTCCCTGAACCCAGGTGTGTCAAGTTGACAACTAAATCTATCCAGCACAACACTGAGCAGATATATCTTAAACCGGCCATGCTCTGAGAAGCCCTGGACTGAGAAGCCTGCTGAACTTTGTTTTTGCTTTACTTTCAAGTCTATTCTTCCTCAAACATACAAGAATCTTATTGAGATTCTTGAACCACAGAGGCATATTATTTTAGATAAGTGGTTAAGGCCTACTCTTCAATGCAACAGCCTTCTAGTAGGGTAAGTTAAATAAGCAGACACTGTACAGCAGACAGTGAAGGCTATGAAGGAAGCAAAGTCAGAAAATCTGATGCCATGCATTCTACCTTAGAATCTGTGATCAAGAACAGGTCTGAGCTGGGCATGGTGATGTACCCCTTTAATCCCAGCACTCAGGAGGCCAGCCTGATCTTAGTGAGTTCCAGGCCACTTGGCCATACAGGGAGACCCTATCTCGTAAACCAAAACCAAAACAAACAAACGAACACATACAACCCCCAAACCAAACCCCAAACAAACAAAGCCCCCAAACAAAAAAGCAAATAAAAGAATAGGTCTATCTCAGGTAGAGAGAGTGGAGGCAAGACTTGACCTGACCAGAGGAGGTGGCTATGCACAGAGCTGGCTGCTGGTACCAAGGCCCTAACCAGGGCAGTAACTGGCTTATTTAAGGTGGTCCAATGGGGCTGGAGCCCAGTTGTGGTGTTTATATTTGAATAAGGAGTTAGGGTTTTGATTGAGATCTAAAGGAAGCAGTGGGGTGGTGCGTGAACATCTTTTACTTCATGCTGACTCCACATGTGAAGTTGTGTGGTTGGAAATAACACTAGTTTGGATGTTGGGTTCTGTACTGTGTGTGGGGTTTGTAGGCAAGCTACACATCGGGTAATGCGTCCAGATGCTGTGGAAGAAACACAGCAGCAGCTTTTCTTTTAACCACTTTCACAAACCTTACTGGCTGCTCTTGGAAGACACAGAGTGGAGGTGTGAGTGGAGATGGGGAGAAGAGGAGGGGGAGGGTCTGAGAAGGGGCTCCAGTGGTAGTTCTGAGGAGAGAATGCTTTGTAGAACTGGGCAGTCACAGGAGAGATGATGAGAGATGCTCTATTAGTTATCTGTCCTGTTGCCGTGACCAAAGACCTGTCAAGAAGCAATTTCAGAGAGGAGGGTTTATTTTGGCTCTTCTGGTTGAGAGCGAGTTCCTTGTGGTGGGGAAGCCACGGCAGCAGGAGACAGCTGGTTGCACTCCTTAGTCCTCAATGCAATTGCTCAGCTTGCTTCCTGCTTTTGTTCAATTGAGCATCCCAGCCCATGGGATGATGCCACCTACATACATTCAGGGGGGATCTTCCCTTTCTGGTTAAAACTTCCTGGAAACTCTCGCATAGACACACTCAAAGTTGTGTTTCCTAGGTAATTCCAAATCTAGTCAAGTTGACTAAGAAGGCTAACTATTACCAATACCCAGAGTTTATATATTATTTGGAGGTAGATGATCTGTGCAGATTTGGAGGTGCCTGTGGCATACAAGCCGGAAATTAGGTGAGCAAGATGCTGACAAGGCAGGGGGGTAGAGAACTGATTTGTAAAGGGAATGAAATTAAGGGCTTTACGCAACACTCAACTTTTTCTTTGTAATGTTTTAGAAATTATTAAGGTAAATACCAGTAAAGGAATTTGTAAATACCATTTTGGTAAATGCTAGTAAAGACAAGTGAGCAGGTGCCCGAATTCTGGCGTCTTAATGTATTTGCTCCTTCTTTCGTGTAATCTCTATGAGGTGGTCCCTTATTGAATGAGTCATATTAGGGAGACCTATAATGGGCCTGCATATGAATTAGCGTAACTCCTGATGCTGTTCTTATATACACTGATTGTGACAGTTTAATAAGAGCAGGAGGAGAAGGAGAAAGTGGAACGAAGAGTTGGAAGAGGAGGGTGGGGGTGAACTAAAAATGATATAGAAATGATCGGAGAACGTATTTTGTTTCTTGTTGACTTGGTAAATGAAGTTGTGTGGTATGGAAAATTAATAAGGATGTTGAGTTCTGTAGTATGTAGGGTTTGCAGTAAGCTATGCTCCAGGTAATGCGTCCTGATATTGTGGTAGGAACACAGCACTAGCTCTTTCTGTGTAATGGTTTTGTTGATGCCAGAGGTTTTTCTCACCTTTCTGACCTTTAATTTCCTCATCTGCAATTTGACTGTGCTGGCTAAGCATCATTCTGAAGGTCTTTCAAGCTTCCGAATGCCAGGGTATGTAAGTCTAATTACAGGTCTTTCTAAATTCTTACTGTATCCAGTTTCCCTTAACAATTCTGAACACAGTTGAAGTGCGCCCTGATGAAGTCTAGCAGCCTGCTGTGGAGGGTAGTTCCTTCTGAATGTTGGGTGACCCTTTCGTTTATGCTAATACAGGGACTAGAGAGTCAAGTGACTAAAACAGGTGAGCAACTTCTTTGCTGAATCAGACAATAGTATTTCAACACTAAAAGAATATTCTCTCAAGTTTTCCTTTTCGTTCACAGAACTAGCAGCCAGGGGCACATGCACGCTTTTCCATTTAATCTGTGCTTTGATGAAGCAATTTTTATTGAGGGTATCGTAGTTGAAAGCTAGTTTAACGGATAAGATGGAATTCAAACTACTCTTAATAGAAAGGAAAGTGTAGGCAACAGTAACTTCTATGGATGGAGAGACTTTACGACCAAACCGTTAATATGATTTTCTTAAAGCAGGTGGCACTTTTCATAAGGAAAAACCAAGCGATGCTTTGCACATCATTACAGGGGACAAAGTGAAATCAATATTCTCCAGATACCTTCACCTCCTTCTTTCGCTTTTCTTTCAGGGTTTTTCTGGAAATGCAAACGCAGACAGCGTTGTATACTATAGACTCCAGCCTTCTATCAAAGCCAGATTTGTGCGCTTCATCCCGCTTGAGTGGAACCCCAAGGGCAGGATTGGAATGCGGATCGAAGCGTTCGGGTGTGCATACCGTAAGTGGTTGTTTATCCAGCACAATGAAATAGATGTCACAAGAGATGCTTTAGAAGCCAACTACACACTAAAATCGAATTTTTAGGTATGGAAAGAGACATAAAGGCAGCAACGATTTTTGTGGAAAGCGTTTGTATGCCCATACATGCCAATCTTTATGCATTTATACCAGTATTCAACTTGGACATTTTAATTCATTG